CTTCTAGTAGAAACACGAAAGAACTCTGAAAGAAAATGTGTGTGCGTTTGGCGAGATTTAAAACGTTCGGAAAGGAAATCATTGAAAAGTGGGAATATTTGGAAAGTTAACTTGCGGTCTCAAAGATGAAGAAACACTGGGAAACTGATCAAATGCCTTCATAAGGAAAAAAGCTGCTAATTTTAACAGGAACTTTCTGCGATTTCATGGAAAATGTTAGGTTCGAATGTGCGACAGAAAAGCAGTAAATCTGATTTGAACGTTGTTCCGCTATTAGTACTGCAAGTTCGTTGCAAGGATCTTGACAATAGCATGGTTGGTACGAAAACAATAAATAAGAAGTTAAATTGTTCTATCAAAACCTTTTTCCTATCTGCCGTGACCCTATTTTTATCTCTTGTTTCTAAGGGAATACATCTTGCGTTAACTAACGCTCTCAACACGTCTTCGCATTAATTTCAAGGCACGTCGTTCCCAGCTATTCGATATGCTGCGAGAGGTTTTTGTCATGGACGTTTTGCTTTGAATTCTCGCGTAACAGGGATTTGCGAGACTTCGTCCGTGAAAAACTAGTAATGTACTAAATAATTCAGAGAAAAGCGTTTCCAGATAGTGCTCAACTTTTTATTAACTGCCTATTATTTTGGTGTGAGAGAGAGAAAGGCAATGCATTAGCCTCGGTTGTGCAGTGCGTAACAACTGAATTCGCAGAAAGGGTAACCAGGGCTTCGTAGCCGTCCTAGGGTCTGAGTTTTGCAACCATCTCAACATCATTTTGGTTGTATTTCACAAAAAGATTCTATCCAGAGGAAAAATGGGGATGATCAACAGTTGTCTGTCCGCTTTCTCTTGACACCACATCGTATAACGTTGACGATTTTATGCAAACAAATAAACGTTCATTCCAGAATCAAATGCTTAACATCGAGGCTAATAACTCAGATCCTATGTTCTTCCAGGTTAATGAATATCATAACGAAGAACGTTGTCAGCTCATATCCAGTTCCTTTAATTTCTTATAAATATCCTGCTAAAATATCGGATAGTCAGCTGCGATACGAAGAGTACTGAAGCTCTAACTGCTGCTTCAGTGTTGGTTTTCGATGCACAACAGACAGCTTACAGTTCCGGTGGGATCACCCATGCTAAAAATGAGTGCGTGAACACGAACTATGAATATGCTGGAAATTCTGCCTAAAAAATGGCCTGTAGGATATTCGTATACCTTTTCAAGCACACATAGGAATGTGTTGATCTTAGCCAGAAATTTATCCGTCGCACAGGAGGTATTAGAGATAACCCGATCATTCTTTGTTAAGATGGTCCATTCAGACATCATGTAAATTTGTTGCATTGTTTTGGATGTGACCATTTAAGTTGCTTAGGAATCTTCAGACGACTGCAGTATAGTAAAACCCAAGCGATGAACTACACACTAAGTGGAAAATAGAAATACCGTAGGGAATTTTTGGCTTCTTACTCACTGTCTAATTTTCAAGTAATTTCCACCCAATTTCGGCCACTCGCCTGTGCTCATGAGAATGTTGATTAAATTGCACATACTTCATATCCACTCGACAAAACTCCAACGGCATTAATTTCTAAAACAATGACCCACTTTTGTTTTTAAAATGCAAACTACCAACCACAGCGATTTTGAGACATTTTCAAAATCCGAACCATTGGTGTCTGTGGTGGAGACCGAACGCACCATTACCTATCTGTGGGTTAACACGTTCACTACTACACAATGTGGCTCCTTCGTTTCGCCTGTCTCTCAACTAGTTTTCTATCTATTAGTGCCATCAGCAATCGCTTGCAAACGAGATTGACCTAGGGAGCCCAAATCGGCATTGAACCCGATTAACCTGATTCTTTAGCTGAAATCACAGTGTTTTGTTTGCAGCTTGCTACAATGAATACTAGCAATAGCTCATAAATTCTTCCTGATGAATTTCATCCGTGAACAACAATCGGCTAATCGGACAATCGACAACCTACGTGAAGAGCACTCTGATTCGAATGTATAGGAAACAGTTTGCAGTAGTTCTTCATTATAAGACATTTACTAAATGTCTTTTTAGATGCAAAAACAAAGATATCTTCATTTTCTAAAATTATTACGCTAATAAAAGGTTGATTAAAAAGCTTATTTCACGGATCTTTCGACCCCTTCGTATTCTTCGAACCCGGATTGGTCAGAGTTGATGATCGAAAAGTGGTTCTTCTAGCGATGTGGTTATCGCATTGAGTCGAATCCAGAGGGTGGAAAACGTCACGAATGTGTAACTTAACTGAGCTGTGCCCTTTCATAAAAGACGCGTTCTGAGCGATTATCGGCTCGAGTATGAAGTATTTTGAGCGGGAAACGGATCCTGCAGCAATCGGCAATGCAGTAGCTAGCACATACCGAACCAATATTTTTAAACCGAGTGTCATTTATCCTATGTATTACTAGTCGCTATCTTCCTGGACTGCTAAGTTAGCATGTGGTTAGTAGAAAAATTTATTCTGGTTAAAAATGTTTTAAAAAGTTTGACCAATCATGAACACTATTAAAGCCGCCGGCATTGTTTCGCGTGGCTAATATTTAATGTTGTAAAAACGATAACACCAGCAAGGGGAATGCAGTGTATATGTTGCCCATCGACTTTCATTCCCATATTGGCCGATCCCAACGCTCGCATAGCCCTCTCGAAGATAGCGCTAAATAATATTGGCGAGATGCTATCACTCTGCCTAACTCTTGTTTTGACGTCCACATAGAAAGTTGATATTCCGATTGTGATGCTTTTAAATAGCTCAAATCTTTATATACTGAGTTAACACGTTACCGCAGTCCTGGTGTGGGAGTTGGGCAAGTGCACTAATAATTGCAGTGGCAGTAATTACACAAGAATTGTATGTTCTCGAGTTAGCTGTAGGGCTTACTAGCCCAAAATACACTGCTACCTTTTGAATGAAATTATCAAGCGAGACTTTTTTCGTGACACAGAGCCAGACCTCAAACGGGATTGTTAACCCTTTATATACATGATTATATTAATGCGATAATAACTGTACGGTAACACCCAAACAATACAAGAGGTTAGCATAACAAGGTCAACATTTGTGACACAGAATACCTCAGCAGCATCGCAACAACATAGATGTGAGAAGCCAGCACACCAAAACGGAGGTGTAAGCTTATGGCAGTTTAAGTTTCGTCAACGATGCAGTGATGAAAAGGACTAAGCGAATTGACAAAGTATTAAGCAGGACAAGTCAAATTTCACACAAACACTAACGGATATCAACAGCTTCATGCACAGGGAATAATAAATAGACAATTGATTTGGTAACATCGACTTTCCTAGAGCGATTGTAGAGATCAGTGGCAGTACTTTAGATGGTTGCTAGATCAACAACGCATAGCAGCTGCATAATGATTGGCTATAATTTTAACATGTTGATGATGGGAGAGTGTGAGACTAGGTTAGCAGTATTCCAGTCCACAAAAAATCGAACAAATAGCGAGTGGATGAGAACAAGGAGGACAGCAAAGTGATGTAGAAATGTGCTTGCAATCTCTACGCGTCATCAGAAGGAAAATGGCACTGCCACAAGCGTGACTAATTCCCAGACCATATTGCAGGTGTCAGCCTGAGAGGAACGCGGAAATATAATCCACTTACTACGACACACTGACTGTGCAATGAGTTGACAACTATGAAGCAACAAGAAAAATTTTATAGAAGATGCATAGAGACGTAAGGAACATTCAGTATTTATGGGGAATTTTATCTAAACGAGGCCTTTCATGACTGCGTCTACCTCGACTTAATCACAAGCAACTTGTGTATAAAAGCTTACACGAGGTTGGTAAATAGATTCAGCCAACGTTTCGACGTCTTCTCTTCATCAGAGCCGATGATTTGAGCCAATGGTCCACAACTGTTCGTCTTCTCGAGTGTTGAATAAAAACTTTCGGTGAAAGTTAGATGGATCTCTCTGTTGTACTCTGAGTACTACGTCCAGCATTCATAGCCTTTCTTCTGGAATATTGAGCTAAAATGAATGGTAGTTATGACAAACTCAAACAACCGATCACCGTGTTAGTTCCATTGCAATCCGTGAGTCCTAACGCGACATACTTCGGACGAGGAGTAAGCTATTTCGACACAAATTTGGTATGTCTTGTATATTTTGTGTACTTTTCTGATAATTGTTGAAAAGGAGGCGATTAGGGTACCTAAATACAATGTATTTTTAAACTGCTCTAAACACTCTGTCGTTTGGCGCAAATATTCTCGTCAGTTATTATGGGAAAGAACGATAATTTAGAGAAGACGTGGAATGATAACAACGCTGCTAGTCTGGCAATACGGTGGAAAAACTGTGATGCGCTTAAGGAATTCACTGCTGCAAAGAACGTACAACTGATTGGCATTTAGGTGTCAAATGGTAATACACCACTCCAGAGTACTGTACATACTAATTATTGAGGCTTCTGACTGAAAGAAACACAGTGAGAAACCATAATATCGGACGAAGAAAAACATCACTGCAACCAGGTCGGTGAATTCTGCGATTACAAGTATTACAAGTACCTTATAAATTCACACTATTATCGACATCACGGGGAACATATTATTGAATTCCTCATACACTTGAAATTCTTTACAAGAAAAAGATGGGATTATTGATTTCCCATAATACGCAAAATTTCCTAAAGCAGGAAGCGTTAGTTTGTTCCTTAGTTATAGTTAAGCCACAAAAGATTAACAATTCTCTTGTTACAAGTTCAACAGTGAATACAAAACCACGTAAAACAGACGGTTTAGAAGAAAAAGGTTCAGAAATATTATAAGGAGAAATCGCTGTGTCAGCAGATGTTAACGGTGCTACGGCAACGTTTTCAGGAAATGGTTAAACAGTATGAGAGAGCTTTTCATTTGCACAGCATTGAATACTTACGCTCCTCCACACGCAGTATAAAGAAATCATTTGCACATTGAAAATTACATGAGAAAATCCCCAACTTCATTTGTCATAAGTTTTCGGCTCTTAACTGCTGCTAAGGTGCTTAGATCCAATGTTGATGTCTTCATGACGTTATGTGTTACTTCAAAAAATCAGTCACAACTGTTAAAGCGAAAGTTCAACGGTTTCAATCGATGCTATAATTCTCGAAGTGGTCTCAAAAGTCACGCCTTCTTTGTGAATATGAATTAGAACGTGTAACGATAAGAGCAAGAAGGGAGAAAAAAAACTGTTTCGGACACCATTCCGCTTGATGTCCTCATCATCAACGTCGTCAAAATCATGCGCGAAAATCTTTACTTTATCGACCACTCCGACTCGGTGCTTCGGAGTCGGTTATATTTCAGTTGATAAAGTTTGATGTGTAAAAGTGTTTAGAATTGCTGAAGTAGAAGTAGTACTGACTGGCTTACTTTTCTCGGTGACAAAATCGAACTCGTCTCGGTGAGCCCAGCACTCAAGCAACCAGGAAAGCAGTACTACTCTCTGCAATGACGAAATCAATTGCTGAATTTGGTCTGATATAGTGCGTACAAAGTGAAACCAATATTGTATAGAATGGATTAGCTATAGATCAGCTGAATCCAGTTGTTGCTAATAAAAGTGTGTGTGCAAGAAGACACAACAAGCAATACTGTTTGGGTTTTGTTAAAATACAACGGCAGAAGAGAATAACAACATATAATCAGAAGAATATGCTATGACACCTCGAAATTTTTCTTAAAGCACATCGAAAATTGCATTTTTAAGAAAACGTGCTTAGAATTGCACAAAGTACTAACCTGGATAGCCTTCGGTTTTTCCTCTTGGTTTGTGCTTAGAAAAATTGCACACGGGCGAAGCTGCAAGAGAAATTATTGACATCTATCGATAACTCATTAAATTGACTATAAAAACAGGTGTTATTTCCAAAATAAAAGTTGACATAAAGTATAAACAAACCTCTCGTTTCATATGTGCACCCATGTACTGTGCGATTGACAGTGTCGTTTTTTCTGGCACATTGCCGCTTTCGACTGCTTGCGCGTTCTGTTGAACATTTGGCAACTGAGAGTCCTCTTTGGTCTAGAGAAAAGCGACAGCTGAACAACTTCTACCAGGATTCACATTAAACAGATATATATATATATATTTATATATATATGGAAAGAAAACGCACCAGCCGTTGCTTGATCCAGACCAACGTTGAACTTCTTATTAGCTTCGCAGGTGATTTCTTAACAAACTCTTTAAACGATTTTGATTCGAATCAAGAAAACAATTAAGCTAATTGTTCGCTACAGGCATTAGCACCGTTAGAAGGACTACAAACAAGTTAGCAATCGTAATATCCCTATAAATGTGAAATCAGCAAGATTACAGTGCGTTGGTACGATTGCTTGAAAATTTCCAGCAAGTATTCACTGCAAAGCAAATGACACTTGGTGCAGTACTTATAGCAAAAAGCGTGTGCTACCAGAACAATTTCCAAGAGAAGACAAAACGATCTCCACAAGGATAAAGCTATTTACCTTTAACAAATCCTGTAGCTCTGCGTAATCAGCGTAGACCATGCACGCATTAGTGACGGTTTTCTTCTCCATTGTCAGTTCACCCATGCATTGTGAGTGAAGTGAATACTACAGAATATTTTAAAAAGTAGAACAGATTATTCATGAAATATCCATGGATAGTGTTGGAAGCTAAAAACAAGCGAAAGCAAACAGCAAAATTGGAATCATCGCGGCAACGACACGGAAAACTCGTCCATCACTAAAAGTCTGTGATCATCAATTCTCTAAACCTAACGGTATGCAAGAAATTTACCATGGTCTGCAATTCTTCTACAAAACGAAATAGGTGTTTCCACCACAACCGGATCTCATTATTCTTTACATGAACTCATGTTAGTGTATCGGCGTTCGCTGATAAGAACAACTCTACCTGTGACTGAGATTGATGTTAATCGTTCTCAGAATACTAACCGAGAAGTGGTCGTGCACACAACAAAGGTGTTTTTATACTATGCCAAGCCACCTCTAGTAGCTAGGATTTCCTGTATCCCATACGATGTCCTCTCTAGTTGACAGTTGGTGTCAATCCAGCTGTTGCCAGAAAAGTCTTTGTTTGTTCTTGTGTGGTGCCAGAGTTAACTGATTTATTTCACTCACTATAGGGACGTCATTTGCTTCATATTTCGTAAACATTCTAGGATTTGTTGTTTTCTCGTCGAAATATTTGTAAGTGCGATGGATTCTTAAGTTTCCCAAGGTAGTCGCCTCCACTTTTCAGCCCCAAATGAACAGTGTGCATTTGCGCGTGCGTGTGACGCGCTTTGCACGGATGAAATGGATCTCGCCGCGTTGTCTCCAATTCCGATGCTTTGATAACGGAATTCCGCCGTCAGGTAGCTGTATTTATACAAAGTAACAACGTGGCGATATGAGAAATCGAGAAGCAATTAGAAGGACAACCGAGGTAAAGGAAGTGATTGGCAGTAGGTGAGAAAGCACTGGAGTTCTAGTATGCGACACAAATCAAGGACCACACTTATACTGATATACCTTTAGTATATATGGAATGATATGAAGACGTGTAAGTTGAACATGTAAACTTCTGGTACAAACATGAAACACGTGGGAAATGAAATGTGTGTAAATTTCGTGAGATTCTAAAACGTTCGAAAAGGGAATTGTTGAAGAGTGGAAATATTTAGAAACTCATCTTGCAGTCGCAAAATTTTTATAAAGAAGGAAATCTGCTCCTTTATATAGGAAAATGGCGTCCATGGGAAATGTTCGGTTCGCGTGTATAACAGCAAAGCAGTAAATCTGGTTTGCACTTTGTCCTTCATTCTATTTTGGTGGCAGCATTGCAAGTTCCATGACAAGGACCATGACAATAACTTCGCTACTACGAAAACAGTGAATAATAAGTTAAAGAACTGTTAAGACATTTCTATCTACCTGCTGGCTACGCTATTTTTATCCTTTGTTTATAAGGGAAAAGGGCGCGCTCGGCGCAGTGGTCGGAGGAGCCCGTAAAACACACGTGGAATCGACTACAGCGCCATGGCCCAGCAAGCTTTCCATCCCTCTGGGGTCAGCAAATTGGTGCCAAACTTTTCTGGGAGGATAGCAGCATTGGCTTAATAAGTCGGTAGGCCACCGCAAGTTATTGTAAAGGCCAGATATGCATTCAATCACCCCCAAACGATGCTTAATGAAGTGCATGGCGCATCCCTCAGGAATTGATCAACGCTGAGAGCTTTATCTTTTATAAACGAATTACCTCCTTGAGTTAACTAAGGTTCTCAACACGTTTACGCACTTATTTCTGGTCACATCGTTTCCGGTTGTTCGATTTGCTGCAAGAGGTTTCTGTCATAGATGTTTTGCATTGAATTCTAGTGTAACCGAGATATTCTGGACATCGTCCGTGGAAAGTCATCATTCATATCATTGCACTTGATAATTCAGATAAAAACTTTTTTAGATAAAGCTCAATGTTTTGTTCACTGCCCATTATTTTGGCTTGGATGAGAAAAAGGCAATGCAGTGGCATTGGTTGTGCAGTGCGTAACAACCGATTTCTCAGAAATGGGAAATCCCGGCTTCGAACTTGTCCTAGTGTTCCGGTTCTGCAAGAATTTCAACATCATTTTGGTTGTATTCCACCAATATTTTCCATCCAGACGAAGAATAATGTTAATCAACAAATGTCCATCCGTACCGCTTTGACACTACATGATAAAATGTTAGCTGTTTTGTTAACCTTTTATTTACTGCCTTTTACAATTTTTCAACTCAGCAATTTTTGCGTGATGTAACCACAATGATGCTGAGATGTTTGGAAAACTACGGACCGCAAGTGTCTGTGGTGGGGAACAAATTATATATTACCCTTTCTGTGGGCTAATGCGTTCGCTATCACACCATGTGGGTCGTTCGTTTCCTCTGTCTCTCAGCTAATTCTATCGATCAGTGCCATCAGCAATCACCCATCAGCAGGATTGATCTGCAGAGCCCAAATCGGCATTGAACCCGGCTGAGCTGAGGCTGTAGTTAAAATCACAATGTTTTACTTTTTAATTGCTGCCTGCTACAACGAATATTACAACTGCTTATAAATTCTTCCTGAAGGACTTATGTCATCCGTAAACGAGTGCGCTCTGATTCCAGTGGTTAGGAAACAATTTGCAATAATTCTTCACTGCAGAACCTTTACTAAATGTTTTCTTAGATACAAGGACAAAGATATCTTTATCATCTTAAATTATTACACTACTACAAGGTTGATGAAAAATTCTATTTGGTCGGCGTTTCGACCTCTTCGTCTTCTTCAAAGCCGGATTGATCCGAGTTGATGATCGACAAGTGGTCGTTCTAGCGATATGGCTGTTCGTTAACGCATTGAGTAGGATTTAGAAAGGGGAAAACATTTCGAATGGTTAACTTAACGTCTTCATAAAGGTTGTGTGTTGAACGATTGGTTCCTCGAGTATCATCTACTTGGAGCGGGCAACGGATCCTGCAGCAATCGGCATTGTATTAGCTAACACATGCTGAATCAATGTTTTTTTAAACCGAGTGTCATTTATCCTGTGTCACTAGTCGGTACCTTATTGGACTATTAAGTTAATAAGTAGTTAGTAGAAAAATTTATTCGGTTAACACTTCGACGTCCTCGTCTTCTTCACAGCCTTGCTGGCTGCGGATCATACTTTTATATCTGTTTTTACATGAGTCGTGATCACATCTACTCTGCGGATTCCAGAAATTCTTGAATTCGATTCGTCTTACTCGAATTCATCGTTCACAAGTTTCTTGGAACATATTGCATTAAGATACTGTTCGAGCTGATTCTCGTTGCAATATTTAACACAGCTGAGCTAAGGGGTTACTAGGTGAATTAGAGGAGAGATTGGGGTAGAGAGTCGAATTAGCAGCTTCCTTCCTGGTCGAGTGCATCAACCACTTTTGCACTGTTCCGGTGACGGGTTATATAAACCGAAATGAATGAAATAAACGCCTTCGTACGAGAAAATCAAAACCTCAACATGCCACTAAGCCTGACTTGTATCATTACCCGAAAACAAACGCTTGTCACGAAATTCCTCATTGAAATTCCAGGTAATATAACCAATCAAAAATGGAGATTTATTACAATCAATTGATCATATACTAGCTGGCAAAGGAAAAAAATCCTTAACTGACACGGTTAATAGCTATCTACAATAGAGGACAAGTAGGCGATTTCAGCACATAACAGGGAAACGTTTGCATCTCCCGAGATCATTTGGAGGTGACATAGCTCAAAGCTGCAGAGATCTTAAATGAGCAAATGACTTTTCAGTATAACGTACAAGTGAAATTCGTAATTTGTACCTCAAGAAAATATGAATAAACTTATTTGTCCTAATGCGATGTTTAAGCTTCCTATCAGCTATTTCAATCAGGTATCCACATTCTGTACATTGCGTAGTCGTGGCTGTTGATATCACCAACATGGTGTGCAGTCCGTAAGAAGTCTTTCGCCGTATGCGAACTGAGACGTTCCATCACTAAGCATCACGCTATACCAACAATAATGGAATCAAAAAACTAACTTCAATCGCTGTACGACCTTTCATAAATCCCTTATCCTGACGAACGTATGAGCTCCGGGTAGCCGTATGAGATAATTCTTATTTAACGAATATTTTCCCATTGAGTAATCGCACAGTCCTAGAGATAACGATTAGATATAACGCTTATTTTTGTCATAAAGCATGAACAAAAGACATACCACCTTCAACCTATATGTCTCATAGAGAACTACAGTCTCGTATAGCAACTGCACCCGACGAAACAATGTGGTTTACTACTTTACATTTGACACCAAATATTAAATGCATTGTACGTGACACCGCGCGCGTGGCTCAATGGTCGGAGGCGCCCTGCAAAACAAGCGGGATCGATTCCGGTGGCCTAGGTCCACTAAACCTTCTATCCCTCTGGGGTCGGCAAATTGGTACCAGACTTTTTCGAAAGGATAGTAGCACTAGCTCGATACATCTCAGGCCACCGTTACTCATTGTAAAGGTCAGATGCATTCAATCACCTCCAAATGATACTTAATGGAGTTGAATGCATGGAGCATCCTCGGTAATCATGTTCACAATTTCGAGTAGTCCGTGATTACAGAAGAAATTATCGTTAAAAGCAGCAAGTATAAGGAAACAAATCCGCCGAAAAGAGATCTGTGTAGGTTACGTAGAGGCTACTATTTATCACCTATATCACATGCCATCCCACTGATTGTCGGTTAACTTGGTCTGGCGTTAATGAATCTCCCATTTTTCCTGTTGTAGTCAATAGCCCAATAAGGCTCTACAAACCCTAGTGATTCACATATCTTTATTCTAGGATTTCCATGAACACTTAGCGCTAGATTGTTGTTTTCCTGTTGTGTGCTTGACACTCTAAGGAATCTAGTCGTCATCGGCCCCCTTCTATTCGTCGTTCAGAAGTATTATGTCTCCGGCCTACTTGGTTTAGATATTTTCGCGTACACAACATTGCTTCTGATCTTTGATCGATCACGTAGGTTACAACTTCGCATTCCATCTTTCACTTGC